AGGCTTCTTGGTTTGAGTGTTTCGGGCAATGTTGGTTTAGGGCCTTTAGGAATTGATGTGTGGCCGAGGGCCATTATGCCGGGCCCGCGCCGGATTCCTGATGGCTCTCCCCCAGCGCAAGACTGCGAGACTTGGCATGATGCTGAGAGGAGGGACAGTGTCCACGTATTGAGCCACAGTCGTAGTCGGAGTCGCTGTGGTTGCCGTGTCAGTTGCAGTTGCAACATGCATTGTAGCATTCTCACTAGGCTTTGTCGAGGTGATGGCCGTCGTCGTCGCAGCAGTGACAGCGGTAGCAGTCGTCGTCGTCGTCGTCGTAGCAGTGGTAAACGAAGAAGAAGAAGTAGAAGTCGAAGAGGAAGTGGAAGTCGAGGTAGAGGTCGAAGTTGAGGTAGAAGTAAAGTAGCAGCGGCAGTGGCAGTGGCAGTGGCAGTGGCAGTGGCAGAGGCAGTAGCAGTCGCAAGTCGCAATCGCAAGTCGCAGTCGCAGTCGGAGTCGGAGTAGGAGTAGGAGAAGGAGAAGGAGCAAGAGCAGGAACAGGAACAGGAACAGGAGCAGGAGTAGGAGTAGGAGTAGTAGTAGTAGTAGAAGAAGAAGTGTAGTAGTCGAAGCAGAACCCTTTTTGCAACACCGTTGCACCTCGATAACAAAACCACCGCAAAGCACCAAGCCCAAGCGGCCTAGGAAGCTCGTGACGCACCTTTATCAACCAGCTCAATCCCCAACCTTGTCCTACAAACCTTCAGTGCTAGCACAACGCCGCAAGGCATCCTAGGGCCTGAAATCCTGGTGTTTGGAATGGTCGGGTTCATGGTCCTGTCTAGGAAGCTTCACTCTGAGAGTTCATCTGAAGTCGAAAGCTCTGGGGCCAGATAGACCCATGCGATGAATCTTGTCCGGCCTTAACATCGAACTCCGATTCCAAAGCCTTGGCAGCCATGAAGGAGTGGGTCGAGTTTGCCCATGACAGGCCGAGTGTCAGCGGTTACATTTGAGGATTGAGTTCCATGGCTTTCGAAACGATCAGGGCTGTATTCACAGGCTCTTGCAAAGCTAACTGGTCCGTAAGGTCTTTCCGCACGTTAACATTCTTTGGCTCTTGTGAAATTGTCATAGAGCATACCAAGAACCTGTTTCTCTGTTTCCTAAGTGCTAACTTGTGTACCAAGGTCAGACTGTACGTTATACCAGCCGCTGTTACACCCGAAGATTCCCGTTGCAGTGTTGTCCATGCATCTTCCTGTGAGCCTCTGAGGGAAGTCTGTTGCTACAAGCACCCTGCAGTCCTGAATCCCGAATATGGCTTCGTAGTGTCGTAGAAGCGGTAGTAGTGCCAGTCGCCGCCGTCTCCTAAAGTCTGGTGGGAAGCCGAAGAGGGCTTCTTAGAACTTTGGGTTCTTTGCGAAAAATGTGGGGCCTTTGGGTTCACACATTTATAGCGAGCGCGTGCAGACTTGGAATGGCGCGAAACACGAACGTTTAGTGTTTTGCGGCTAGTGGCCTGTACAGGGCACCCGAACTACGCTCAAGAGGTTTGTAGGCTTGATACGTCGGGGAGTTGTTCAGGCACATGGCTTTTTACCAACGCATGCCCGTGGGCGACTTGGTGGACAAACAGAGCGTCTTTTGAACATCGGGTGCACGCTTTTGGTTTGGAACTCGGGAGAGACACATAGAGCTCATGAGATCAGGTCCAGGCAGGCGTGCAGAGTTGATGGTTAAGGCTTTGAGGAAGAGCTCGTAGCCAGAACGGCTGACCTCAACTCCGCAATCAATGCCAGACGTACGAGTTTCCATTCAAGGACTTGGTAACAGTGAGCTCGCACCCCCCCAATAACTAGAATCTGAGAACACCTCGACTGAAGACCGTTGTGACAACGACGAGCATCATGATGACGACGGTGCTAACGGTCATGTCGATGTTGATAAGGTTAGTCATGACCGTGTCTATCAACTGATTCAGGTGTTGATGATGGTAACGATGATGGCGATGGACGACGATGATGATAATGATTGCTGTGATGATAGTGACGGTGATGATGATGAGACTGGTGATGAACTACATAGTGAGGGTGATGCCAACACGAAGATGATGTGATGATATTGACGGTCATGACGCACCCGTGAAAGCCTGACCCCGAACCCTCAGCTTAAATGCAGTCTTTGCATCCTGCAATACGTAAACCTGTTTCGTGACCCATGGTTTCCGGTTTGTTTGAGACTGTAACCTTGAAACCTCGAGTCCCTGTCCTTAAGCCCTAGCACACACAACTTGGAAGCCTTCTCGCCGGAACTCTTTGCGCTGCCTGGCCGCTTAAGGAATCATATTCCAATTGCCAAGGCCCTTTATCCTTGTCATTGCCGCTGCGGTTATTGATTGTTCTTATCACTTGTTTTGGTACGCTTATTGTTCTCTGTGTTCTTCTTGCTCTTGTTGTTCTTGTTGTTAGTGGTCTTCCTGTTGTTCTTGTTGTTAGTGTTGTTCTTGTTGTTGGTGTTCTTCTTCTTGTTGTAACCGCATACTATAATCATTACAGAACCCTTTTTGGTAGCCCGTATAGGGCCCTTAAGGCATGTTCTGCGATCTTCCCGCCACGGCCAAAGTACACTTCAAGAGCCACGTGGATGAGCAGGCCTTCTAAAGCTTTCACAGGGTCTGGTCTTACAAGAGGTTAAGCAGCATCTTATTATAAGATATATGTGTTTTACAATCTATTTTAGACTAGAGGCGTGTAAAAGGGGATCATGGTGTCGGAGCGCCAACACTGGCCAGTAGTCAGTTGTCAATGGTTCTCTCCGCGTGCGATCGGTTCAATCTCGGTTGGAGCATTTCTGAAACGCAAGCATCGGGTCGTGTTGGGTCTGTGAGTATTGTTACCGTCATTCGTATTAGTATGTATTCGTACTATTCTGAGCATTCGTGTTCGTGCTAGTGTTAGTGTCATGGTATTCGAGCTAGTTTGACCATTCGAGCGCGGATCAGTATTAGTTGTCCGTGTGATGGGGCATCATCGGATTCTTGCCAGTCGCGCCTCAACCTTGGGGCTCCAGCACTTGGAACTTGCTCTTCCGCCTCAGCGTCGTGTAAGTTGGTCTAGGGCATCCGTAGTCGTTCTTCCGCCACTGTCCCGTGCATGTGTGTGTCTCCCAAAACCGTGCTCCTGCTACAGTGCCGTGCACACGTTGCTGCAGTCCGGATTTCCCACCACAGTCCAGCGCAATTCTTTTTTTCGGGGCTTCTCGTGCTCCCGCCACAGAGCGGTGAATGTCTGTGTGCAAGATCGTGCCGGCGTCGCAGTCCCGAGCAATGTACGGGGATCTCAACATGCTCTAAGTGCCTTAAGTCCACAAGAGCCAAACTTCTCATCCCACCAGAAGACCGATTTTCAGGGTGGTGCATTCCCTCCTGCCCGCTTCATGGTCCCCTGCCGTCGTGGCCGTCCTGGTCGTCTTGGACGTGGTCGTAATCCTGGTAGCCCAGCCAGCCAAGCACGTGAAACACCCGGAGCTGCACGCAAACTATTATAGTATATACTATGTCATAATATCTGGTCCTAACCATCTGTATTGGTGAACAGCGAAGCCTTCGCCACATGAGGCCATTGGCATCAGAGCTTGGAGGTCTAATGAAGAGGGCATATTGTCAATGATCACACCTGAATTGCACCCTGCGCCTTAAACCTCACCGCGCATGCCAACACCCACATCTCTGAACAGGGCCAGGAGTATTACGAGGACCTGCTTGACGGCTCGACCACCTGGACTCTGCCCTGCCTATGCACACTCTCAGGAGGGATTGGGTTTGAGGCTTTGGCTTTGCCACGAAAAGAGCTCTCTTAGAACAAGAAGGATCCTTGTGGAAGCCCGTATGTGATCGCAAGTAGCTTCTCATGCCTTCAAGCTGTCAAAACACAGCAAACATGCTTTCACCAGTTGCTACATGAAATGATCCTATTCTGAGCAGAAGCAGAAATTCACATCAAAACCCCGAGGAAATTGCACAATGCAGAGCCAGTGTAACAAATTGGGGTCCGGCGGCAAGTCAGCTGACAGGCCAACATAAGACGAGTAACTCTGAAGTGATATCATAAGGGGCGACATCAAAGTCTGTTGTAAACATTGGAGAAGGTTCTGGTACGGAGTGAGACTCGTTAGGATGGTGCGTTGCATGAGGTTTTGGGGTGTGGGTTGTAATCGTGATTGGGGCTTTGGGTACCTTATTTTGGGGTCCGTCTAATCAGGATCCAACTATTTAGGGTACTATATTAGGGTCCCCTGTTTTCGGAAACTCCCAGATACTAGTTGCAAACGGCTACTTATTAGACCGCTTGCGAATCGGGGACTGAGTGTATTGGTAGACGGTGAGATGAAGTGGGAAACGAGCCCAGCCAGCTTCGTTACGGCTTTAGGATCACCTAGGGCTCCGTTAAGTGTTCGTTTTTATGTCGGCAGAAGTTCGGGGGTGAAGAAGTCGACGTTTCAGATTTGGATCCCTGAATCAAGCATGCCACAGTCCAATCTTGAGCACGTCACTATTCCGCACGACCCGAATCCAAAGTGCATGAGACTAGCATAGACTCACACCCGAGTCAGAACGGCAAGAAGACCTGTGGTACGAGTATTGGTACTCAGGGCATGTAGTAGTATCAATAACAGTAATGATCGCAACAACGGCGAATTGACATAAATCCTTGACAGGGAAAGACAGCCCGCACTCATTCTTTCTGCAAGGCGATGTGCCGTCCTGCTCGAAGAAGATGAATCCTGGCAGCGATCAGCACCCAAAGCCCCGGCACCCGTGTCCCATCTTCAGACCTTTTTGGCTTTCTGCTTCTAAGCGTTCAGTGTTGTGGGTTTCGTCACTTTTTTGACTGCAAATGCTTTTCGGTAGTGTTATGTTCGGTTCGGCCTACTGCGGTTTTCGTGCTTTCAGTCTCCCCGCACCTCAAAAGATTACGTCTTGGGCCCGAAATCTCAAGCCTATGACGGTTCATCCTATCATGCCCGACACACTGCCTGCTGGAATCGTCCCCGAAGTCATGAGCTCGGAGCCAAAAAGCTTCATCTCTAGGCTCGAGTAACCGTGAAGCCTCCCTAGACTCTAGACCTACTTTAGAGGTCATCACCCAGCCATTACCAGTATAGTGATATAGGGGCTTAAATAATTACCAATACTATTTTGGGGGTTCCTTACTACAGTTATAGTAAAATGGGCCCCAATACCCTATTCTAATCATTAAGGCCCCTATATTACAACCTAAAACCCTATTCTGGTGATGTAGGTCCCCTTGTTATCGAACCCGAAACCTCCACCGAAGGATTCGGCCTGGAATGTGCGTGGAGCTTGTGGGTTTAACCAAGCTGCCCCGCGTCGGCACAGTGCAACCGTGGGGTTCTATGCCAAGGCTTCTAGATCTGGTCATGTTTTGCAGAAAGCAAAGTTCTGCACGGCCGGCAGGCTTCATGTATGTGTATATATATATATAGAAAAATGTGTAGAAATGCATGTATACAGGTATCTACATACATGTACGTAACTGTATGTAGATGTATGTACATGTATGTATATGTATGTATGTATGTATGTATGTTTGTATAATCAAAAATATATATATATATATATATATATATATATGTGTATATGTAGCATACATCCCATGCATAAGCTAGTCGTGAAGGAGCACGAAGTAGCACTTTTGATGACTTCACCAGCTTTTTCTCGACAATGCTCAAACCCCCACAGAACTCTAAACCACATCTACGGCTCGAAACCCGTAAGTCCCTCTAGCCCGGTGCCCCCAAGCAGCAAACCCTAAGGCGCAGCACCCGGCGAAAGTTCGCATGGGTCTGTAGTGGTGTACATACTCCGGTTCCTGTCTTTAGATTCCGAGGAAATCCTGCGCCCTACAACCTTTAATCCCTGAACCCAAAGAATCCAAACAGACGCAAAACCCGCAGTGTTACAGTTGTCCCAGCACTCTAATGCCTTGAACTTAAAAGCCCTTTCGATAAAGGCCTTGCAAAACTTGCAGACCACGAATCACGAATCCCTACATCCACAAGCCAACCCAATGGTGCTAGCTGCTAGCTGTCAATACAGACAATCAGCAGTTCATGCGACTGTCTATGTGAATTTTCTGATCGCCCTGCGGGAGGGTCTTGGGAATTTGGGTGTGGAGTTGAAGTGGAGCGGACACTGCGGCAATCCCTTTGAAAAGCTGAAATTGCTGCAGTTTGGGAGTTTGGGTGGCTGTTGCCGGCAGGTTTGCTGTCCCGACCACCCGAAAACTCAAAGCCTTAGCCCCAAATATGTTCAAGGAGGGCGCTGAACGGCCGCAAGGCTCGTATCGTTACGTTCCTCGAAGGCCTGTTGAGCAGCACTGATCCATCCTGGATAGTAATTAACTCTCATAGACCTATTGCGAGTAACTACCGTCCCCGTGGCTGCTGCTGTAGCAGTAGCAGTCGCACTTTACGGTTTAGAGCTGGGTGGCTTTAGGCCTGGAGCTCAAATGGTCTACAAACTTGAAAAGTAGGCCAGTTGTTCTCTTGCTGTGAAGAAGCAGCCGCAGAGAAATCTAGCTTTAGACAGGCCCTGTAAAGAATCGGTACTGTTTGCAATGTACTGTAAACTCCGTTTGGGGTTTCCCTAAACCCGAAACCCTAAACGGTGGAGTTTCAGGTTTCGAACCCCGCCTCGACCCCCCTTCAGCATCCAAGGGCCAGCTTTTTACTTGCCAAGGCATCAAGTGCACTCTAACCAGAGATGCAGAGCCGAACGCCCTGTGTCCTAAACACCGAAAGCTGAGCCCGAAACTTGAAGCCCCAGACCCTAAAGCTCCAAACCCTAAAGCCTAAAGCCTTAAACCCCAAACCCTAAAGCCTTCAGCCTTAAGCCCCAAACCCGAAAGCCTTCAGCCTTAAGCCCTAAAAGCACTATAGCCTCTGACAGGGGACCTGCTCCTCGTGGAAGTGGGAAGCTGCTGGCAACTCGCCGTCGTTTCGGCCTTTGGCCCCTTGGCAGGGTTCACGGTTCATGACCATGATGCTGGCATAAAATGGTATGATATAGTTCAATGTGGTTTTGTGTAATGCGGCATATTCGACACTTGTATAATATAGTATAGTCTAGTATAGAATAGTATAATATAGTATATCATTGTACAGTGTATATAGTATAGAACGGTAATGTAAATCAAGCAGTACAGCACAGTATAATATAGTATGTTATAGTACAGTACAGTATACCATGGTTCAAAGACGGTATAATACACTATAGTAAAGTATAGAGTAAGACAGTATAGTGTAGTATAGTACAGTATAATGCGCTGTGATATAACCTAAACGAGTATGATGTATAATGAATCAGTATGATAGCGCACAGTGGGGTATAATGTAGTATAACAGAGTGCAATCGAGTACAGCAGAGTACCTGGACAGGGTTCACAGTTCAGTACGGTCTGGGATTTAGGGCTTTCTGGTTTCAGGCTTACGGTAAAGAGTTTAGGGTGTAAGGTTCAGGATGTAGGGCTATTTAGGGCAAGAGCACGAGCAACAACAGCAAACGACAACAGCAACCACGACCACAACGACAACGACTACAAAGACAACGACGACAAGGACGACGATACATATCCGAAACCAAGAACCGTCGACATCATCGCGCCCGTTCCCACTACCATCGTTCTCGTCATCACCACAGTCTTAAAATCGATGCCTCCCTCTCGTTCATCATCACCATCACCATCACCATCCCCATCGCCACCGCCACCGCCACCGCCACCGCAACCGACCCCGCCCCCGCCCCCGCCCACGCCCACGCCCACGCCCACGCCGCCGCCGCCGCCACCGGCACCGGCACCGCCGCCACCACCACCACCACCACCACCACCACCACGATCACCGCCGTCACCTCCATCACCACCATCACCACCATCACCACCATCACCACCATGACCACCATCACCGCCATCACCACCAGCACCACCAGCACTGCCAGCACCGCCAGCACGGCCAGCACCGCCAGCACTGCCAGCACGGCCAGCACCTCCAGCACCGCTAGCACCGCCAGCACCGCCAGCACCACTATCACCGCCATTACCGCCACCACCGCCACCGCCACCACCGCCACCACCGCCACCACCGCCACCACCGCCACCACCGCCACCACCGCCATGGCACCACCGCCACCACCGCCACCACCGCCACCACCGCCACCACTGCCACCACCGCCACCACCGCCACCACCGCCACCACCGCCACCACAGCCACCACCGCCACCACCGCCACCGCCACCACCGCCACCACCGCCACCACCGCCACCACCGCCACCACCGCCACCACCGCCACCACCGCCACCGCCACCACCGCCACCACCGCCACCACCACCACCACCGCCACCGCCACCGCCACCACCGCCAGCGCCACCGCCAGCGCCAGCGCCAGCGCCAGCGCCAGCACCAGCGCCAGCGTCAGCGCCAGCGCCAGCGCCAGCGACAGCGCCACCGCCACCGCCACCGCCGCCCCCACCACCCACCGTCACCGTCTCGTTATCGTCATCGTCATCATCGTCATCATCGTCATCATCGTCATCATCGTCATCATCGTCATCATCGTCATTATCATCGTCATCGTCGTCATCGTCGTTATCGTCATCATCTAAATGCTCATCATTGTCATGGTCATGGTCCTCATCGTCCTCCGCACCATCGCCATCATCGTCAATATGCTTCTCATTAGTACTATTTCTTCTTCTTCTTCTTATTATTATCATTATCATCATCACCAGCATCATCCTCAATCCTTGTTCCCTGTCGGAGTCATAGTCGTGGTCGTTGGCACTGTTGTTTATTCCTGGTCGGATCCCCAGGATCTCCTCTCCATGCCCTATTGTCTCCAGACGCACGGCGAAGTGGGTTGGGGTCATTCCGCCATAAGTGGGCCGTAATGCTCAATCCTGATCCTTCCCAGAGCGAGGAGTCAAGCCACTCTCGCCCGGGCAGATCGTCCAAGTGCCCCCCGCCGGTGCTTCGGATTCGGCACCTTTTGGGTCGATGGGAGGCCCCTGTGGTTTGGGCTTCAGTCGGTTGTCTTGTATCGGCAAACAGCAGCAATACCCTCAATCCTGAAGCCCGCAAGCTGCAACCCAAACCCGCAGGAGATTTCCACGCCGCCAGATTGCGAGGATCAGCAGAGCTCCAGGTTGTAGCCAGCCCTAAACTCGAGCAAAAAGCTGAAATCTCAAAGCCTGCAGTCTGAGCCCTCACTTTACGCGGGGACCCTGCGCCCCCCGGTGAGTCGGTGGTAGGTCCACCGACCTGGGTGATGATTCGCAAAGCGTTCGTGGAGCATGACACGAACGCCTCTTGTCAAACGGATTCACGGTTCGTGAGGTTGAGGTGAGGGTTCAGGGAGCTGGGTTCCAGAGGATTATATCCGACACTCTCAGCTCAGAAGACTTTGAACCCAGGGTCTCAGCCTGCGCCCAGACACCGCAAGCCCTAAGCCAAAATCTTCTTTGTGAGCTTTCGTTGGGTGATCCTAAGAGGCTCCGCCTGTGCGCTCCCATGGGTCTTGCCTAGACTTTCGGGATCCTCGTCAAGCGCGTATCTTACTGGATGGATCCTTCTCTATTCCTAGGCCCAAGGCGCAGTAGCTTTACCAGAACATGAACCCAGAAACCCGAGCCAAGACCACGGAAAGCTGACAGCTGCCATCCAGAACCAGAGCCCTGATCCCAAAGGTTCCAAACCCGTATTTTGAGCCGATAGTCGCGTCCATGAGAATCCCAAGCCACATTCGTGCCAAATCCGTAAGCCCTTGATTCATATCCCACATAGCTCGGCACAGGAGGTCTTCTACGAGGTCGTAACTCGGCTGCACATCGGAATCAAGAGTGCTGGTACACTCCGAGAGCCTTTGTCATTGTTATATTCATAAGCACATGAACCTCTCTGTCCCTCTCACTCCCTCTGCCTCCCTGCGAGTAAGCCCCTGCAAAGACATCGAGGTTTCAAGGCTACAGCGCCTGTTGCAAGGGTAGATTGCCAGCGTTTCTCCGAGGTCTCAAACTCGAGACGTGAATTCCTTCGTAGTCATACCCCCCCCAAAACCCAGAGACCCCAACATCCCTTAATCAAGGAATATACCTGAAACTGAAATCATATTAGGTGTCATACTATAACCTAAGGAATATTCCGTAATTCAGGAATATTGGAGTCTCTGGGTAGTTCCGATAAATATTCGTGCAATAAGATACCCTAAGTCCTATCCTACACGCTACACCTGTAAGTCCTTTGCGGGGTCCGTTTCGGTACCCGTGCAAGCTCACGATCAGGGGATCTCAAAAAGAGACCGTATATTGAACAGCAGAGTCATGACAGCGTTCATGCTCCACCGTCGGGGTTACAGTTCGAGACACTCACACCGACATTCCAGAAGGGTTCCCTGTTCAAGGACAGCCACCGAGCAGAAACTGCAGCAACAGCCGCAGAAAGTTTCCCTGGATAAGCCGACCCCACACTAAACCATAAATCCGAAGCGAAACGCGTTTCAATGCCCGGAAAGGACCGTATCCCGCGGACGGCGCCGCAGCAGCAGGTCGGAGTTAAGCATCCCAGCCAGAGAAAACATCGACCACCCAGTAATAGGAAGTGAGCTTGCGAAATATATCGAATGCCAAGTGCGTCTGCGGAGTATTACGTGCTTGTTTAGGCGAGCCTTGAAGCCAGAAGCGCACAGCCCGCAGATGCCGGCGACTTCGCTGTTGCCCTCCTGCATCAGGGGCATGACAGCTGCTCGATGGCAGTTTCCATTGACGATAGCACTCGCTTTCAACCTGTCATGCAGCACCGGCGGTGGGGACAGCTTGCAGCAGACATGTCTCGCTACGTTTCACTTTGATGGTTGGCATTGTCGTGACGGCGCTTCAAGCTGTCGGGTCTATCGCCACGATTCTCTAGCCGGATCAAGACCATGGCCCTAACAAAGATCATCTATCATGATGTTCGTTTTCTGGTCCTCTTCCTCCTCTTCCTCCCCTCCTCCTCACCATCACCATGCCCGTCATGATCAGTCGTCGCAATCGTTACCTCATCATTTTTCCATGCTACTCCTCCTCCACCACCACCACCGCCACCACCGCCACCACCGCCGCCACCACCACCACCACCACCACCACCACCACCACCACCACCACCACCACCACCACCACCACCACCACCACCACCACCATCGTCATCATCAGCACCGTCATCATCAGCATCGTCATGACCATGATCACCAACATCATCAGCAGCAGTGCCATCATCATCATCATCATCATCATCATCATCATCATCATCATCATCTTCACCATAGTGATCATCATCAGCATCATCGTCATCACCATCATCATGATCGTCGTCATCGTCGTCATCGAACGTCAGCGTCATCGTCATCGTCGTCCTCATCATCATCGACATCATCGACATCATCATCATCATCATCATGAAAATCCTTATTACGTATATCATTATTGTCAGCAACACTGTGTTTTTGTCATCAGCACCATCTTGCTGCAGTTCAGCCGACAACTCCACATGTTTGTCTTGCCACCCACCCTGCCTTGTTTTTCTGAGTGTTCGGTGGAGAAAGGGCGGTTTGCTTCGTGCTTCGTGGCTTGGTACTCCCTTCCTCTATCTCCGGTGGCCCTGTTGCGATGTGAGGGCGAATAGTGTGAGCGTCTGCAAAGACCCTGGCCCCTTCCATTGGGTGCCTTTCAGTCTTAGGTCTTAGGCCGGGTGGTGTCCAAAGGTTGTAAGCAAGACAATACCATCGAAGAGGCACATAGCAATATGAATCACTGGCCCAGCACTTTGCCCCACGACTCAGAACCTTCAACGTTGCTTCCTTAACCTTGTATGCAGACGGCTACATCGTGAGCAGCTTTCTTCCCTATCTCGGACCTAGGCTGGCCCCTCGCGAGCTGTTCCGAAGTAGCCCGGCAGGATTGAGTCATCGGTTTCGAGGGACACATCCGTGTTTTGGATTCGGATGTGTGTGCTTACAGACATGCGGCCTGCGAAAAACGACAGGCTGCTAGAAGTAGAAATTCATGGGGAGTGCTTCCACTTTACTGACAGCGAAATCGGGGTTGTGCTGGAACTGCTAGAAAAGCTCGACTCCTTGGCTTGCCCTTTCCGTAAATCCAAAGCCCAGGCTCGTAGGGCTACTGTCATCGTCGCTTGGGTTTGCGGTTTAGGGCTGGTTTAAATATGGGCTTGAAATGGTAGCTTCCAGCTAGCATAGCATGGGAACCTCAACACACTGAACCCTGCAACATTTTGCTGCGGCAACTGTGTAGCACGCATCACCGTGGAGGTTTGTGTTTCCAGAAGACGAGGTATGACGTGGATGTTATCCCAAGCATGATGCAATGCATTGAGATTGCGTTATTGTGTTCAGAGTTTGCGGACTAGCCGATTTCGCTTTCGATCCAAGTTGCCAACCTTTCGGCAACCTGAAGCCCTAAACCCTAAACCCTGACCTCTTCCGTCCGGTGAGCACCGAAAACGCGACACGAGAACGAACCCGAGAGCCGCTCAAAGCCAAAGGCCGAAACTCTTGAGCTCTTCGCCCGAAGCCATATGCGGAAGAGCCACCAAACCACAAACCCGAAGCCCCAATTCCGCGACTCAAAAAAAATTCGCTGGCTAAAAAAAGCCCCAAAGCCCGCGGGACCCTCACTATCAAGGCTTCCTTCTGCAGAGCAGCCTTGTCCTTCGGCAGTCGATTTTGTATCGGATATCTAGGCCCTAAACCCTAAACCGGTTGGAGTTTCGGCCTTAGGTTTGGGGGTCAGGGCTTGCACCTCATGGTTTAGGGTCAGGTCTGGGATTTGCTTTGCTGCCGTTCGCACCGGGGTGATGTCAGCATTTACACACCGGCATCCAAGGCCGCAACGGGCTTTTCGAGTTTTTTGGTGTTCAGACTTAGAGGATTGCTGATACATTGCCATACTTAGACTATAATGCCCCATCCTAATCACCAAGGCCTGTATATTACTGTATATTATGTGGGTGCTCCGTTGTCCAGGATTCGGAGTTTCAGCAATGGCATTGTGTTCTCTGCCCTGTGTTTATCCGCTACAAGAACTGCGATTCCTGTCCTGTTTCAACACCCACACTGGGGTTTTCACTGCTACGTCTGCCAGCAACAGATCCTAAACAGCGCATGTTGGGAGTTCGAGGGCTCAGGGATTTAGCTACCTATGATTCCCTTCAGGTGAGGCACCTTCCCTGTAGCCCGGAGGGCCGTGGTCGTGCAGGACATATTGCTCGCCTGCGCGATTTTGTAGGTCGCCTTGTCTTTGCATTCAACCATGTCTTTTCCTAGCCGCAAATAAGCGAATGGCTCATGATATTCGGAGGTCATAGCCTTAAACCCCCAGCGTGCTGCCTTCAGCTGAAGAGTCTGAACAGGCAGTTTCACCACGGCCTCCGGGGCGCAGGAAGCTTTCATGATCCACTTTCCCTGGGGGCTGCTCTGGATGGTTTCGTCTTTTTCGCGACTGTAGCTTGAGGAGCTCATTGCCATATCCTGAGATCCTAAAAATCTTGTCAATCCCGCCTGAGCATTCTGTGCATTTTGGTATCTTTGCTTCGGGTTTAGAGTTTAGTGTTTTGAGCTGCAGCTAGTGTTCCGGGGTTTGGGGCTTTGAGTGTTGGGAAGGCTTTCCGCAATGCTTTAGACTCGGCTTGTTGCTTCGGGAATCTGCCGGATCTAGAATCTAGACTTCGTGGAGCACACGGGCATCGTGCTGTACAGAGACGAACCGAACCGATCAGGACGGAATTTCGGGGTGCACTCGCCTGCACGAGGTTCGGTTCAGAGATCAAAGCCGGGTTTTTGACACAGGTTGAGAGGCTGCGAGGTTGGCCGGTAGTAAGGCAGGGTTGTGCTCGTAAGTGAAAGAAAAGTCCTCTCCCAGTATTCGTGAGCCAGCGCATGCAGTGCACGTAGTCTTTTGCATGAATTGCACTCCCAACCCGCAGCCCTAAGTCTGTAAACCCAAATTCCTAAACCCGAGCAGCCCAAAGGTTTAACGACGCATCCCGGAACTGGGGCGAAGTGGTTCGGTGGCCTTTGCTCGTCCCCTGCCTTACCTAGAAAAAGGTCTTGGGATAGGCAGGCGCGGGATGCAAGGCGCACCCGTCTTCCCTGTCGACAAATCTTGATTTTTCTTATATATATATATATATATATATATTGCCCAGAGGTTCAGTTCCTAAAAGGCCTTCCTGTTGTTCCTCTGTTGCCATCCTATGAAATCGCCTAGAGGTCGGGCGGTTGGCGCATTTCTCGGGCAGCGACTCCCGCCACTCAACCCTGAAAGCCAAACAGCTGACCAACGACTCGACAAGTAATTACCAAACATACACCCGAAGAGACTACATATTTCAGCCCATCCACTTGCTTCTTGGGTAAACGCGCAATTCGGGGAAAAAACGCTGTTAAACACCTGAAACCTCTCTTCAAGGGACGTCTTACATCCCACGCCAGTCTTGGAATAAACTGTGGTAAGATCACATATTTGTATAGGACAAGGAAACATGGTGACTGATTATACCGAGCTTCGGGTTACTTGAAAGGATTCGGGCGATTCGGGCTTAGGATTAGGAGCTGCATTCGAGTTTCCGGTCTGGAGTTCTGGTTCAGGCTTCAGGTTCAAAACTCTGACTATGCTGTTTGGTAAAGACCAGTAGGTATCCTAGTATTCAGGCTCACCTCAGACTGCGAAAATCCCGTAGGGCGCGTGGAACTCTGCTTGCTGGCACCCCAAACCCTTCAATACTACACAAGCACCGCCGGCACCAACGCGCCGCCGCCACCGCCACCGCCACCACCACCACCACCACCACCACCACCACCACCACCACCACCACCACGACCTACAATGACTGTCACATTAGGGTTTACGGCTAGTGCCAAGTGAGATGCCGGTTGTCCTCACATGGCGTTCTCTGAGGAGGTCGGTGCTGAGGGGTTTTTGATCAAAAGCTGTGACAGCTCCTGCCGCCAACATCGCAAACTGCAAGCACGAAGAGCATTGGGGAAGTCCTTTCGCGCCATAAGTTTAGTGGAGAAACTTTTTCGGGAATCTGTTTGGCACACCAACTGAAGGCGTGTCTGGATCTGGGAGCCTATGCCCAAGACCCGATTCCAGGGAACCCGAAGATCCGAAACACTTGAGACTCCAGGTTTTCCTCCATGGCTCCGGCGGAGGCACCTTTATGACTTTATGCCGGAGACTAGGCCGCCCTAGCGGCAAGGCATCATAGACTAGATGGCATTCTGAAAGTGCTCCTGGTCCTTGTGTTTGACCGAAGCAGCCTCAGTGACTATTCATGGGATTCCTGTCTACTCCTCCCCATGATTCTTGTCCACTCTGGTCTACTGTATCATCATGAAAGCACATTTCGAGATTTTCGACTTGCCACGCCCCCAAGACAAGGTTTACTGTCTAGTGTGCAAAAGGCATGTTTCCGGGTTTCGTCCCGAGAAGTTTCGGTCAATGTGGCGAGCACTGGGTTTCTTTCGGGCTGGGATTCTGCTTTCTTTTCCAGATCTCTTGAGGGGGTGTATATCAAACTCGGCTTTGCGCAACATCGCCTCATAACATTCAGCCAGCACCCCCCCGCAGCCCCTCCGAAAACCCGACACCCTCAACACCAAAATCCAGATATCTGTAAGTTGGTTTCTGCCCCGACTCGTGCACCTAAGCCATAGGCCTGACAGAGCCGTCAAGTCGCAACAGAGCTCAGAAAACGTCGAAAACCCTACAGAACCTTAAAGGAAACCTCAACATTCCCTTCAAGGGCAAGCCTAAAGGAACCCTAAACCCTGAAATTTCTGTGCCGAAGAGGCGAAGTTGGGACGATTCTCGGGTAACGGCTTCAAAGGCTTTGGGATATTGGATTTGGGGTTTCTTTACGTTGTGCATAATTGCCCCATTTAGGGGCCCTTCCCGTCTGCAAGACTCTGCCATGCCATGCTGCCCGACAATCGACTCTGCTGAGGAAAGACTTGCCGAATCCTGGGCTAGAGCCGCAGTGCTGAACATTTAGAGCTTGGCTTCTTTAGTTGCTACCGTGCGGAGCAGGAAGTTCAGGGATTCAGTGTCGGAGTTTTTGCAACCTGAGGCATCCACATGTGGCCTTTCACAACGGCACAGGGATTTACAGAGATGAGGTACTAAGTTGCTGTGGCTGTTTTATATGGGCTGAGTTAGGCTCACCCCAGTCTTGATTTTCCTAAGTTCTGTCCGTTCCTTGTACTTCCAGCTGACCTGAAGTGTACTGAAGATTGAAGCTGTGCAAGGATATTCTGCATGAGCTCCAGGTCAATGAAGGGGTAATTTAGAGCAAAGTTCGGGGTCAGATGATGGGAAGAGATTTATCTGGTTGAGAGGTCTACGTTGAAGTGGGTAAAGGACATAGAACTGTCGGGCTTTGGTAAATGCCTTTGTTTTTGACATGCAGACACCATGTTGCCGCGAGGTATGCCGTACGCAACTTCGTGATTGTATGTCCCAAATGCAGGCTGGCATTGGGATTTAGACCCCTTCTCACTCACCGCGGAAACCCTAGTCCCACATTCCCAGACGTTGAATCCACCAAGAGCCCACACGCTGTCCAGTTTGAGGCTTGCAGTTTTGGAGTTAGGGATGGTCAAACCCGAACTTTGCTCTAAGTTTTTGCCAGTTTAGTTCACGTGCATCAGGTACTTCGACACTAGTACTCAGGTGATGTTGCCTGGCCCCACATGTCTGATCATGCATCCTTTTCGTGCTGTTTGCTTTCCAAGTCTGAACCGCTGATTTCTCGCATAGTTTCTGCCTCTAACCTACGTGCTCTTGTTGATGCTCCCGCGCATGCGAAGTCTGCCGATGAGCGGACCGACAATCTCTTTTCCTTAACTGTCGCTAACCCCCCCTCCAAGAGCAAGCCTTGGCTAGAGTCCGATTAAGTTGTGCCCCCCAGACTGGACCCCGAATCCTGAAGGCTGAAATGCATCCAATCCTTTCAGTCTAAACCCGAACCTTCTTTCCTAAAGCCCTGAAGCCTTAGATGTAAATCATGTACGGGCTGCTTCATCCCCCTGAAATTCACACGCACAAGCTCTTGGTGGAGAGGCTATGCCCTTAGCTCTTGAAGGCATACGCGCTATAGTACGCCCCGGCCCTACACGCTCAATTTATAGCTCTGAACCTCTTGCTATCGCATCAATGACAGTATCTGCAGAAGTATGAGTAGTAGCGCCGGTAGATGGGATAGTAGGGGTAGTGGTGGTGGTGGTTTTCGTTGTCGTCGTCCTAGTAGTCTCAGATATAGACACAGTTGTAGTCCGCCAATCGCCATGGTCAGGGTCATGGTCACACATAGTCGTAGTGCCCATATTGGTGATAGTTGTGGTAGTTGTCGTAGTTGTCGTAGTAGTAGTAGTAGTAGTAGTAGTAGTAGTAGTAGCAGTAGTAGTAGTAGTAGTAGTAGTAGTAGTAGTAGTAGTAGTAGTAGTAGTAGTAGTAGTAGTAGTCGTAGCAGTAGCAGTAGCAGTAGCAGTAGCAGTAGCAGCAGTAGTAGTAGTAGTAGCAATAATAATAATAATAGCAGCAGTAGCGGTAGCAGTAGCAGTAGCAGTAGCAGTAGCAGTAGCAGTAGCAGTGACTGGCATTATCGTTGACTTCATCGCCATGATCATCACAGTCATCACCAGCGTCATCATCAGATCACCACCATCACCGTCATCACTATGATAACAGCAGCAACAACAGCCCAGTCACAAGTCATCCTTCCTACTCCCAGAAGCACTCGGAAGCACGATCAGAAGCTCGTTGAAGAGAAGCTGGTCACAAGTATGCCGACAAAGCAGCCCGAGCCCTCAAGCCCAACCAGCCGCGAGTTTTCAAGCTGTGCTTGTTCCGAGCACCTTGTGAGGTGGAAGTGGAAGAATCCTGCAGACCCCTGGGTGTTGGAGCTGGTTGAGGAATTAGCGAACCAATGCTGCATCGAGGGCTTTGAGGGCTCAGGGTTGAGATTCAAAGCCGTGGCCCTTTGCGGCTTTGAACTGGAAAGCAGTGGTTCGAGCGTCCGAATTTGACTTGGGGCTTATGATAGAAAAAAGCCATGTCTTGCCGATGCGAGCAGGCTTTGAGACCCTGTCGTAAATGGTGTATATGTGGGTTCGTGGACGTATACTGTCATATAAATAGGTATTAGTTTGCCATATACAATTGCCATATATACTACCACTACTACCACCACCACCACCACCACCACCACCACCACCACCACCACCACCACCACCACCACCACCACCACCACCACCACCACCACCACCACCACCACCACCACCACCACCACCACCACCACCACCACCACCACCACCACCACCACCACCACCACCACCACCACCACCACCACCACCACCACCACCACCACCACCACCACCACCACCACCACCACCACCACTATTGCTACTACCACTACTACTACTACTACTACGACGACGACTACGACTACGACTACGACTACGACGACGACGACGACGACTACTACTACTACTACTACTACTAGTAGGACTAGGACCAGTACTACTACTCCCACCGCCACTGCCAGTGCCAGTGCGCTGAGGTCTGGGCGAAAGCCAGCAGGAGTAGCTCGTGACTCGTAGATCCCTAACCCCCAAGCACCAAAATCCTTGTCAGTCTCTTGAAAGCTCATCTTGAGGTCTTGAGTTCGCAAGCCAAAGTGGGTTGCTGAGGCCCTACCTCCGGGTTGTGGTGAGGAAGACTTGGAATGTGTCGATGCACGCTCCGAAACCTCTGCCGTCAACCCGACACCCGAGCTGGATCTCAAGGTTCTAGCAAAACTCACACCTTAAACCCTAAACACTAAACCAAGGGGAGCTCACTGGGTGGATCCAACGCGGATTTATTTATCTGGCATCTCCATGGGAGGCCAGGAACTGCGCCGCACACCAAAGCATCTATCGAAGTAGACTTTGGTTTCAGGGTTTAGGGTTCAGGAAGTTTCGATAAATCCGCGTTTGCGGACCTGGGAGGACTAGCTCCAGTATGCGTATTAGAGGGAAGGCAACATAGCCTTGAGGTAGCCATAACATTGACACGTAATTCCTTCAAAAACTTAGCAATATTGATTCTCAGGATCCCCGCCGTCATAAAAATTAGTACAGCAGCATTCCGACTAACAGCAGCAATGGCAAGAGCAGCACTAGCAAAGAACTCTAATGTTCCCATGCTAAACCCGAGAATGCGACTTCATAATTTACTTTTGATTAGTAGGGAATGGAGGAATGGGGTACAATTATAACTACTATGAATACCGTTCTTCCATTCCCTACGAACCAAAGGTAAGTTATAGGATTATTAAGGCCCCTATATTATAGTACCCTTATAGATCCCTTATAGTAACCCTTATAGACCCCCTTTATAAGATAAAGAAGGGAGCCCTTTGCAGAAAGCCAGCTCCTCGGATTCGGAATCCCTGATGTTCGTCTCCAAACGGGCTTGTCGGGTGCACGGCTTCGTTGTTCTAAAAAGGTGAGATTCCTCTTCTTGGGGTTTCCAAGGGTAACAGGAGGGACCCTTAATAAGGACCCCCAGGTTGGGGGTTCCGGGCCTGGCGGGCTGATCGAGAAGAAAACACGATACAGGGCTTTGCAACCTTGTGGAATTACTGCTGGGGGCTTGGCCTCAGGGTTGATGCGAACGGACTGCGATGCCTTGTCATGTTCTAAGGTGTCACTATAAGAGCTGTGAGCAAGACCGTGTAAAGTGCAAGAGAAGGGGGCACGCTACGCGTCCCTCGACTCTAGGGGGCATGCTACGCATCCCTCATCTTTACCTTTCTATGTGACCGCCAACGCAACGTTTGGCTCAAGTCAATGCCCATAGCTAAGTGCTATATGTGTCTTCTATCCTGAGCAATCAGAGCTATCCCGTTGCACAGACGAACCGCCGCCGGCAGTGAGTGCAAAAGGAACGGCCGCCGGTTCTGCCTGCATAGGATCGCACGTGTGGAAGTAAGAGGGAGAGACAGGGTCCAGTCTGTGGAGAGTGCTAGCCAGCCACACCTACATTCATTACAGCTCTGGTGGGGAGAGCAGCAACCAAGTCGAGATCAATCCCCCACGCAGGTTATCAGCCGTACGCGGCTCTGCCTTTCTACAGCAACGACTACTTGATCTACTACGACCACAATGAACTCAGGATCAAGCCAAGATACGACAATGACTTTCGGTGCCGACGTGGCAGCGCCAGCCGTTGGTGAGTCAACAGCTGATGACACAGTGGTGCAATCCGTTGATAGCTCCACGGAAGATGACAAAGGTCAATCTTTTGCGCTTGCCATTGCAAAGGCAGTTCCCAAGGGGAAAGCAAAGAGTCTACCAAGAGCATCTACGCCTTCGCGTCCGACATCCACAGGTTCGAGGACGGGCAAGGCTTCAGAACGACGGGCCGAAGCGTCTGGTTTTCAGGCACCTCGGACTACGTCCAGGGCCAAGGACAAAGGAGTCAAGACCTTGGAAAAGAAGTCAAGACCATCATCTTCGAGAAGCTCTTCAGCACGATCGAGGACTTCGGCTACTCGTGGGCGTGACAAGTCCATGACTTGGAATCGGATGGTTACCAATCAACCACGCGATACTGACGATCTGGACATGACTCTGGATACGATTCCTGCACGTGGTGATGCGTCATCCGTGGCCACGCCTGCAATAGCTGACGGTCCGAATGCCTACCAGGAACTGACGATTTCGCAACAGTTCGAAGCATCGAACCTTGCACAGCAGATGTACTATCGCAGTCAGGTGCAAGAATACGAAGGAATCGTCCAGACCCTGATGGACAAGATCAAGGAGATGCAACAAGAAGATGAAGGATCTGGAATTCGCATTGAGGAATTGGAACGACAACGTGATCATGCATGCTTAGCCATGAGGCACATCAACAATGTCAATCAGGAGATGAAGCGAGACTATGAAACAGCTTTGTTTCGCATGGATGAGCAGAACTCTGCTCAACAACGTCAAGCACATGCCGTTGCCGAGGATTTAGCTCAACAGCTACACGTGTTCCGCACGGAGGCAGCCACCAACTTTGTGCAGTTGGAGGCAAGAGCGCAAGGTGATGGTGAGCTTATGGCACGTGAGTATGAGCGTCTGACTCATGAACTTCATGAACACGCCAGAGAGAACTTGGTCCTCCGGTCAAACACAGCAAGTTCGGAACAAGCCTTACAAGCAATGCAGGAACGATTCCACTTGGTCAAGAACCAGGAGTTGCGGGCTGTGAACGAGATCCAAGGGCTAGCTGGAAACAGCGCAGCCATTGAACAAGAACGATTTCGGCTTCGCGAACGTCTTGGTGAAGAGGAAGAGTACCGCAAAATGGCTGTGAAGAGGATGCAAGAAGCAGAGGAACGACTTCATCAGAATGAAGATCACTCAAGGCGATCATTGCCTACCTTGCACGACGAGCTGAGTGAACTCAGGAAAACGCTCAAAGCACAAGAAGATCTTCAAGCGAGGACACGCAGCGAATTGGAGGCAGCGCGAAACTCCAATCAAGGAGGAGCGACGCGACCTTCGAGCATGCCCATGTCTTCGAGGACTACTGAGTCTGGCTGGGAGCACGTAGGAAAGGAAGTAATGCCTGCATTTTCCGTAGGAGATGAGGTACGATCCCCTGAAATACGGTCCCCAAGTCAAGTTAGTCCAGTCGCCAAAGAGAAGTTCGCATTCTCGGAATCGGACAAGGACAAGAACCTTGTGATGGATGGAATTCCATTCACCGGTGGAAACTTCTTCACTGGCCGCAGTTCAATGCCAATCGTGGCGGATGCAATGCCCGAGCACCACGTGCCAGGTATTAGCAGCCCAGCGCTTGCGCGTTCCACGCCTAGTGCAGCCACTTTGTTTGGCATACCAAGCGGATTTCATGGGAAAAGTGATGCGGCAGCCGTGCGTGATCGACAGCTACGCGAACTCTTGGGGGATCGCGGGATGTTGGGATCGAAGTCCACAGCATCGGCCAGCTCCTCAAGACCTGTTGGCATCGACGGTGTCACCGCATCTACTAAGGGCAACGACCTCATTGGTCCCCCTGTCGCCTATGACGATTCCATCCATGAGGCAAGGAGGCGTCAGATCGAGAAAGAGATCGCGGAACAGTACGAGGAGAAGATTGCTGATCTGCGAAGTGAAGTACTCAAGGCTCAGAAAGCCGAACAACGTCTCAGAGCTGATCGTGATGAGTGGAGATTATTCGCTGAAACGATTCAAGAAAACAATGGAGACGATGACGGTGATGAAGCTGGCGACGAGAACGGAGAGGAAGAGCATGATGAAGGTACCGGCACGGGGTATGATCCTCCAGATCCGCCTGATGATGATGATGACAAGAAGAAAGGCGGAGGGGGCAAACCCGAATCGGATCCTGGCTCGCATGCGCGTGATCCTGATGGAGACGCGGATCCTGAAGTCACAGAGGTGAGAATTTCCAGGAGGGAAGCCGACAAAGTGACCGTTCCTCCATGGCCTACTCTCACTCATCTCAACAACTGGCGATCCGTGTGCACGGCCAATGTCTTAGGGGCATCAGCCGACCCACATCATGAGGACTGGATGTTATGGCTGGCACCAGCGTTCAACCCATTCCCTGATGTCGAAGCATTGAATGATTCAGGACACAAGAAGTTCAAGAGCATAGACGTCAAATTGGGGATCGCCATGGTCGCAATGCTACGTGCCGGTGGTGACAAATCAGCTGACCTGTACCTTGAGGTGAACCGGAAGGCCAATGATTACATCAGCAGGCCTGACGTGAAGATCATCAAAGGACGGCAAGTCATTGCGATGATGTACGAAAGTTTTCGAACACATGATCGTCTTGACATGATCATCACTCTTGAGTACTTGGTGAAGCTCCAGTACCAAGGCGACAACAAGCTCCATACGTTCAAGCAGACGTGGTTGGAAGTTCTGGGACGGATGAGACCAGAGGACATTCCATCCAAAACAGCTCTCCGTGATTGCTTGTACAGCAAGATCAAGGACTCGCCCGCAATGAAAATGGACTTGGGCATGCATTACGAACACTTGCCCTACAATCATGAAGATCGATCGTACGACAACCTGATGAAGATCATTGATCGTACCATCATGCGGAGACGAGAACAGTCAAATCTCACTCAGACTCAAATTGGCTTGCGCCAGATGCTTGAGGGCAAGGATTTGCTTGCTGCACCGGCCAAGGTACCCGAGAAACCTACGCCTAACGCAGCTCCATCCGCAAAGGTCAAGGCTTCGCCGACCAAGCCGGACAAAGCAACACCTGTACTACCTCAAAGCAAAGCGAAGAGTCATGCGAAGACCAAGCCGAAGCCCAAGAAGAAGACGAGGAGTGAGTCAGCGGACAACAGAGGTGACAAAAGCAAGAAGCAAATCCGCTGCAAGTTCCATTTCACAGATGCAGGGTGTCGAAATGGCGATAAGTGTCCATTCAGTCACTCGAAGAAGACTCCAGAGCGACCCTTCACGCCGAGGACGAGAACTCCAAGTCCATCTGGAGGAGGAGGAAACAGGATATGCTACTCGTTCAAGAACACAGGCTCGTGCTCAAGAGAGAATTGTCCTTTCAAGCATGAGGCAGCAGCTACCCCAGCTCCGGAACCAAAGGCAAAAGCTAAAGCTAAATCCGAAGCGAAGGCAGCTCCAGCGAAGCCGAATGCCAAGGCCAAGGCACTCCCTGCGGCACCCGCCATCAGATTGTGTCGAAGGTGGAATCCATCAGCTCCGGCTATATGGAAGCGATCTTCAAGACAAGATGAGGAGGAGTCAGATTGTCCATCCGTTGACAGCGACGCTGATTCGGATTGTTCAACAGATGACGAATCCTCGGGAACGACTACGTCGACCCGAAAAGTGATAAAGCGC